TTCTATGTTCTGTGTCCTGTTGTCCTGTTACATCTGTATTTATACCAGTTTATTCAATCCTATCAATCTCTATTCCAAAGGTTAGGGCGTTTCTTATCTCCATTCCAGGGAGTAAAGATTATTCAGCTTAAGCATGATTGTTCGTAGTTAAAGTGATTAATTACCCGCCTGGCACTTAGTTAAGGGGTTTTATTTCCTCCCTAACTTCAGGGGAAAATCCCTACCTGGGGAAACAGCCTTTCTCGGAGAGGTGACCTTGGTTAAAATACATAGCACCAAGAAGGTGAGCAAACATATTAAGAACAGCATGCCATATATACCAGGTCCCTTGAAACAGCAAGGATGGAGCGGCTCCCGGCAATTCACGTCATTGATAACTATGCGTTTGGTTAGCGTGTATATTCTTTAGCTTATTGTTTTCCTTTTCAATAAGCATTTGACACTGTCTTTCAAGATAGAAGTAGGACTTAACTGGAGATTCTTCTATCAAATCTGAAATTTGTCCTCTAATGTCAGAATCTACTTGTAAGGGAATTCCAGAAATAAAGTAATAAATGTGCATTTAGTTTAACTCAATTCGTTTTGTTTATCTACTATACTAATGTCAAAAAGTCATTCATTATATTATTATAGAAAATTTGTGATTGATATCTGAGAGAGAAAAAAATCAACAAGATTGTAAGAAAATACTGTGTATCTCATATTTCTAATGCTTTTTGTTTATAGGTTTTTAAAAAAAAACAGTGTAACATCCGTTATTCCTAATGCTTTTATTTACCAAATTTTTTGTTTTGATCAGTTTTTACTGAGCATCTACTAACAAGTTACTTGCTCTGGTTATCGTAAAGCTATCAAATATGGATGGCCCTTTCAAAACTTGCTGTTTGCTTTTATTATTATTCTCATTAAAATATCTTTTTTCCCATTTTTATTTTCTGCCAGCTTCCTTGGGGCAAGGGCAGTCTTTCCTGTTACTTATGTCACGTAACTCAGGTTTTACTGTATATTAACTATCAACCGGATGGAAATATAATACAAGTATTTAATATACTGAAATATATTTGATATATTCAGTACAAATTTAATATATATATTACCCACTTTTAAAAAATAGTCATATTCCATTTTCATTGGTAATTTTGAAAATATTTTTCCTGTCATACAGTACAATGGCTCATGTAGGAAAATAGCCATTTGGTGCTCTCTCCAGAAAATCACTCCATTTCTGGGAGGAGGAGACGTTTGGGAAAGTTAAAGGGTCCTGTGAACCCCCGAATTCCCCCACTAGCCTCTCTGCAAAGGACCTGATGTCATGAGGAAATGCCTGGACCCTGTCTGGCAAATTCCTTTACTGTAAATGTCTCTCGTTTCCATTTATCATACTTTTTTCACACGTGCTCATTTTAAAACATAAATGGGACTGCTTTCATAACAAAGCTGGTGGGGGTTTTCAGTTTATCCTCTGCATCCAGTAGTGTGAATTCTATAAAATTACAATGAGGTGATTTTTGAGGTCCTATCAGAAATAAATGTGTTGTTTTGTTTTTCTGCTTGTGAATCTTAGGATCTTGTTGAAAAAATTCAAGCTCCCAAGGAATCATGAATGTAAGTTGTATGTGCTTTTATACAAACTATTTTGAGGTTCACAAATTATAATCCTACAATTAACCCAAAACCCTTCACATGCACTCGTTGCACAGGCTCTGGTAGTGAGGAAAGCGAAGTACTGCCCACTCTTTTTATAAATCGGTCTTTCCTGGCCGTTTGGCTCCGAAGGGAAACAAAGCCGTGGTGAAGGTGATGTAGTCACTCGCCCGCGCTGTCCCCTGACACTGGACAGAAAGGGCCGGCTCGCAGCACCAGCCGTCACGTCTGTGCCGCCCTCATGCTGCTGGACTTTAACACGGGGTGTCGGGGGGGGTCCCCTAGACGCTTTGCAGCTGGGCCTGGTGGAAGGAGAGATCGACGACCTGCTTCGGGGGGTGGGCCGCCTGCCATCGGCCCCCAAACCAGCCAACGACCCGCGTGCGCACACGGAAGGCGACGGGGGCGTGAAGCGGAAGGAGGTGGGCCCAGAGGACATCTGCTCCATCTGCCAGGAGCTGCTGCTGGAGAAGAGGCTCCCTGTCACCTTTTGCAGGTGCTGTTCCCGCCCACACCTCGTGAAAACCCCCTCACGCCATGTGTCTGTGACCGACGCCGGGATGGCACGCTGTCGGCAAACATACATTTACACGCCGTGTTTCCTTGGCCTTCTCTTTTGTTTTTTCAAATATATTTTATTGATTTTTTTTACAGAGAGGAAGGGAGAGGGATAGAGAGTTAGAAACATCGATCAGCTGCCTCCTGCACACCCCCCACTGGGGATGTGCCCGCAACTAGGTACATGCCCTTGACCGGAATCGAACCTGGGACCCTTCAGTCCGCAGGCCGACGCTCTGTCCACTGAGCAAGACCAGTCAGGGCTCCTTGGCCTCCTCTTGTCTCCTAATGTATATGTTGTGGGAGGTCCTGTTCTTACTCTGACTATTTCCGGGCTACATTTTAAAGGGTGAAAATGGAAACCTAACTCGACTCTGTTCTCTTTAAGTTTATTAAAGTCGAATATTCTGGACATTTCTCTCTTAACACACGAATAAATGCCATGGTTTAGAGTGGTTACAGAGAGTTTTCCAAAAGTAAAGATTATTTTACTTTAAATGATAAAAAAGAAAATTCTGTTTTTCAGAGCTCTGTCTGTAAACCTAATAATTCAGTGTCACACACGGTTCATTAAGTGTCACCGTCAGCTTTCTCGAAGGCAGCCGGATTTGGAAAATGGGGACAGCCGTTTGCGATTGAGCATTTTTTCATTCTTTGTTTTCCCTCCTGATCATTTTCCAAAATTGTATCCACACGTAGTTTTCACCACTTCCCCAAACACGGTGTCTCTCAGGAGACGTTCACTGGGTGATGCCGCACACCGCGAGGTTTCCAGAAAGAGAAGGTGGCACCTGCTCCCAGCGTGCGTTTTATTTAAAAAGGGAGCCGGCCCTGGCGGTGTGGCTCCGTGGTGAGCATCGGCCGAGGAGCCAGCAGCTCAGGGCTCCATTCCCGGGTTGCGGGCTCGGTCCCGAGTGAGGGGCGTGCAGGAGGCAGCAGATCACTGGTTCTCTCTCATCGATGTTTCTCTCTCTCTCTCACTCTCCCTTCCTCTCTGAAATCAATAAAAATATATATTTTTTAAAAAGTAATAATCACTATTATAATGTTCGTTTTTGTTAATACTATGTGCATTCTCACTTTACAAATGGAAAATATTTTCATGCTGCAAAATTTTTTACCACCATTTCGTTGAATGGGGGAGTTAGCTTGGAGTTCTGATGCAGTAAATTAAAGATGACAGACTAGACAGACAGGAGAAGATAGAGTGGGCGTTGACGTAGGCAAACGAGTTATAGCTGGAAGCTCGGGTCTGTTTTTATGGGAATAAAGATGGTAGCAGAGAACACTGTCTTGACACGCATTTACAGAGCCTTGTGTACACAGATGGCAGCCTCACTTCATTTCTCACAGGTTCGGCTGTGGCAATAACGTGCACATCAAATGCATGAAGATCCTGGCCAAGTACCAGGACGCAGTATCCAGCACGTCTATGCTGAAATGTCCGCTGTGCCGGGAAGACTTTGCACCCTTAAGCCTGATCTTGGAGGAATTCAAAAACGCGAGCAAACTGGTGACCGTGGCGGAGAAGGAGCGGCTGGACAAGCAGCTGGGCATCCCCTGCAACAGCTGCAGGCTGTGCCCGATCGAGGGGCGGTGTTACAAGTGAGTGTCCGAGGGCCCTGGGGGGCCAGTTCCCTCCTCCCTGTGGCCCAGGCATCTGGCCGCCTCCCGCCTCCCCTCCTAAGGGAGCGTTTTCCCTGCCCGATGGGCGCTGGGCCTGTGGGGAGGGTTTCCAGACTGGGAGGTAGGGAGCCAGGACCCAGAACTTCACTGTCTCCTGCTCTTCCCTCGCCCGAGGGCAGGGCTCTGCAGGCCCATCCTGAGCCAGATGGAGATGCCCAGTGGCACCGCCCTGGGGTCCTGGGCCCGGCTTTGCTGATGGTCCTGGACGAACTCCCTCGCTCACGGCCCTTCGTTCTCCTGCGTCCCTGGGGCCAGCGTCAGCCCGGGGGACAGGACGAGGGGACACAGAAGAGGGGGGCGCTGTGAGCGGGAGGGCAGGCTCAGAGGTGCTGCCCCGCTTTCCCTGAGGTGAAGAGGGGGGGTCACAGGAGGAGCAGGAGGGCGGGCGGCCGGGAAGGTGGACGGACAGGAGAGCGCTCTCGTCCAAGAGGAAGTGCAAGCTCCTGGGCCCTGGATTTCAGCCACGGAGACCATCAGGCTTCTGTCTTACAAAACAGTAACTAATGAGCAGGCATTGCTCAGGCTGCTGCCTGTGTTGACGCTTGTTACCATAGCAACAGGAAACTAACACAAGGTGGGACGTTTAGATGGGCCTCCGCACATCTGCCTGGTTCCCAGGAAATTGTGGCCAGAATTCTTCATCCCAAACATCCAAATAACTGGGTTTTCCTTGCCCGCGTGTCCAGGTGCACCCAGTGCGAGGAGTACCACCTGTGCCAGGACTGCTTCCCCAGCTGCAGCCACGGCTCCCACGCGTTCACTTTCCGGGAGGTGAGTGTCCCCGAGGGACACCGTGTGGGTCCCCTGGGAAACGGAATGAAGTGCGTCTGAGAACAACAGGACTCGGTGACACTCTGGAGAAGAGTGACATGAGACTGAATAGACACCAAGGACCTTACCCTTTGGAGAGCTCTTTCCCACAGGGATGTGCCGGGCAATTGGTACGTACATTCGTGATCTGTAAAACCCAGCACAGTAACTGCGTTGTACACAGCCGTCAGGACAGCCATCGGACCTGACGACGCATTCTTAAAGAGATCTGACCACTACAGACTGAGTTTCATATCATGTTACTGACATGCAGCCTATGAACTTTAATTTGCGAAATAAAAGTGTTTGTGATCGGCACAGAAACATGTACGTTTTCTCTATTACAGAAGAGAAATCAAAGATGGAAATTGCTAGAAAAGAGATCCGATGAGACTGGAAAATACAGAGATATTAGCAATGACATAGAAGAACAGACACCACATTTTCAAGAAAAGCCAGGGTGAGCTTCTCAGAAATTTCGTGGAGGACGTGGGGTACTTATATAACGATTGAGTTTGACAAGTTTCATTCAGTCCTTTGTTCGATAAATACACACTGAGTCCTCATGACAGGCCAGGGGACATTGCCGTAAGCAGGTGGGGAGCGAGGCCTGGGGTCAGACGGCGTAAACCCAGGCCCAGGGCAGCCAGGCCGGCTGCCTGCCTTCGGGCAGAGACATCCGCATTGCATGGGGATGACTCTAAAACCAGCTGTGCAGGACTTCTGTGAGTCTGAAGGGAGTTAACACACACGGCAAATATTCCAATCACGTCGTCTGTCATTAGTATTAATTCTACCAGAGGTTGCACTAGGTCCTGGGGAAGTAGTACAGTAATTAAATGATCATCTTAATAGATGTAAAATTAAAACTGACCCATTATGTATGCACCCCTGTGTTCACAGCAGCACCATTTACAGTAGCCAAGATCTGGGAACAGCCCAAGTGCCCATCAGCAGGTGAGTGGATAAGAAGGCTGTGGGTCCGCTTACACCACAGAACACTATGCAGCAGTAAAAAGAAGGCTCTCGCACCCTTTGAGACAGCATGGAGGGACCTGGGGAGTGTCATGCTAAATGAAATAAGCCAGTCAGAGAAACACAAGTATCACATGACCTCACGCACATGTGGAATCTAATGAACAAAATAAACCGATGAACAAAGTAGCTCCAGAGACATGGAAGCATGGACCAGAGTGATGAATCCCAGAGGGCAGGTGGGCTAGAAGGGGTCCATGGGGAAAAGGGGGACACATGTAATACTGTCAACAGTAAAGTTTGAGATAATAAATCGTAAAGTGGTTTAAAGAGGAAGAAGAAAAGGACCCCTGCAGGGGGATTTGAGATCTGTTCTGATGTGGTTGGCCCTGCGTCATCAGAAACATCCCCTCCAGGAAACTTCCTCCCCCTCCTCCATTCCCCCGCCCAACACACACACACACACACCCTCTTGCAGGGAGAGTGCCGAGCGATTGGCTGTGATCAGAACACAGACGGGACTGTTCTGTTCTCCAGTGGGCAGGCCCCCAGACCTTGTGTCATGCCCCTTAACTACTAAAAAAATCGAAGTTGCTGCTTTTATTAACCTACTAGCTACATTGTAAAATATATGCAAAAGGTCATTTTTAAAGGGTGGAATAAAATTGAATACTTTTTAAAAAATAATTTCAGTGAATTAATCAAACAAAATGTATATATACACTGAGTGGCCAGATTATTATGACCACCCCATCAGTACTTCACTGACACTTCCAAAAACACTGAATATTGAAAACTTCCTATGCAAATACTCTCAAGGTTTTATTATTATTATTATTTGCATAACTAATTCACTTCATTGTACTGATGGGGTGGTCATAATAATCTGGCCGGTCAGTGTATACTAGAGGCCAGATGCACGAAATTCGTGCAAGAGTCGGCCTTCCCCCCATCTGCCGCACCGGCTTCCCTCTGGCACCTAGGACCTATTCTTCCCTCCAGCCACTGGCAGGCACCTGGGACCTGGGCTTCCCTTGCAGCCCTGACTTCATCCAGAAGGTAGTCCGGAAGGACATCTGGAAGGACGTCTGGAAGGACATCAGGTCTAATTAGCATATGATGCTTTTATTATTATAGATACACATAACCCAGGGGATATTTAGCCCATGCCCTGTGGGCACTTTGGGGACCACCGCCCTTCATGCACCTAAACAGAGGCTCTGTCTCCTTTCCCTGGGCCCTGGGCCCTGGCCGAGGGGATGAGGAGCCATACGGCTCAGGGTGCGGGCAATGTGTGGGAAGGCCAGCGAGCATTGGCGGCAGGACATTGGAGACAGAGAGCGTGCCACACAGGAGGGAGACTCGGGGGTCAGGGGACGCTGAGCTGATGGAAACGGGTGCATCTTCCCTGGGACTCGGGTGGCCTTGGTAAAAGCGGGCCCTGGAGCCACCGGTGCATCTACGGAGGAGCAGGAGGCCTGGGGTGTTCCCACGAACGCCGGGGACGTGCGTCCCCAGCGGCTTTTGAGTACAGGGAGGCGTTCACCCTCAGCTCTGCTGGTTGTGACTCTGGGTGCAAAATGGGCCTGGTCCTTTCAGAGCCACAGCCACCCGGTCCGGCAATACCGACAGGGTCAGCGTCCCCCCCCGGGAAGTGAGGTCATCGGGCAATAGGATCTGCAGGCTTATCACAGCAGCGGGAACATCTAACGCGGCCAGTGAGCGCCTTCCTTCCCACCAGACAGGAGAGCCAATGAGTCGTATGCTCTTAAAATATATATATTTATATTTCAGTCTGAGTCTGTTGGCTCAGACTGAAATAATTGGTATGATTCTCATCAAAATTCTGCTCTGGTTTTCAGATTACTATTTTAAATCGAAATGACTAAATTTCATTCTTTTTTTAAAATGTTTTTATTGATTTCTTTTAGAGAAAGAGAGGCAGGGAGAGGGATAGAGAAACAGAAACATCCATGATGAGAACCATGGATCGGCTGCCTCCTGCACGCTCCCCCCCTCCCCCACACTGGGGATCGTCGAGCCCACAGCCCGGGCCTGTGCCCTGGCCAGAATCGAACCCTGACCTCCTGGCTCCTAGGTCGGTGCCACACTGGCTGGGCCTACACCTGATTCCTGATGACGTGGATGTGAATGTTGGTTCCTCCTTGTTCAGGATCAAGACAGTAGACTTTGTGGAACTGTCTGCCGTCCGAGACTGACTCTTTTCCGTCCAGGAAAGCAGGTGTTTGTTCATAACCGCTGCGGAGGTGGCTCCCTCATGGACGAGCCTCCTGAGCGGGGAGTCCCGGACGAGCTCTCACCTCCGCTCACCCTCCCCAGCCAGGTGCACACGCCCAGGCCCGTGGTGCGGTCGCTGCCCCTGCTGATGATCACGAAGAACAGCAAGCTGCTGGGGCCCGGCTTCCAGTGCCGCCTCTGCCTGCAGGCCTTCTGCCCCAGCCAGTACGCCAGGCTGCTCCCCTGCTCCCACAAGGTGGGTCCCCCGCTGGCCCGCTCTCCCTGCGGCCAGCTTTCCCAGACGAAGGGGCCACAAAAGCCTCCGCTTTCTCTCCGGGGTTGTACGTGCAGATGTTCAAACGGAGCAGCGTCTGTAGAGGAGCAGAGAGACCTCAAAACGGCAGCCTTGCCCCTAAGAGTGGATTCCTCTTGATTAGGGCTCGTTTCTGTGCATACTGTCCAGGAAAGAGAGACTGGCCCTTTAAGGTAGAGTCTTGCATCTACTGTAGCTATCTGTCAAAAGGAAAGGCTTACAGAATACTAGATTTTATGTGTATATTTTATTGATTTCAGAGAGGAAGGGGAAGGGAGAGAGAGAGAGAAACATCAATGATGAGAGAAAATCCTGGATCGGCTGCCTCCTGCGCGCCCCCATCTCTCCCCACCGCCTTGACTTGTGCCCTGACTGGGAATCAAACCGTGACATCCTGGTTCCCAGGTCGATGCTCAACTACTGAGCCACGCCGGCCGGGTCAGAGTACTAACTTTTTAATGTATTTTTATGAGTCTTTGGAGGAAACAGAGATGCTTAACTTGACAGAGTTGGTTATTATTTCAAATGAGCGCACTAGAATCGGAGTGTAATGTTGCTTATCGCCATGTAGTTGGTAACCAGGTTTTTCCTGAAATAAACTTACTTATTTTAGTTTAGCTTTCAGTTGTTTTAGTTTTAGTTTCCAGTTCGCCTTCAGTATTATCTCGCATTAGTTCCGGGTGCAGCATGGAGCTTAGGCAGCCATCGCCTTGACCAGTGTCTCCCAGTATTTCCAGGGCCCGCCTGGCACCACCATGGTGCTGACAACACTGTCGGCTCTGTTCTCTGTGCAGGACTTTAATCCCCGGGACCATTCTGCCGCTGCCGATACAGAAACACACGCAGACACAGAACGGACTGTGGCTGCCGAGAGGAAGGTGAAGGCAGTAAGAGTACCAACTGGTGGAACGAAATTGTTCCAATAAACAGACATGGATAGCTGTAGAGTCACACTCACTTAAGATGTCTGACTGTTTTTGCCCCAACAACGTGATTTATTTTATCTCACCATCATCAGACCAATAGTCAACTCTTGTTGGCTATGACTTTTTTTTGTGTTATTTAATCATTTTCATTCATTAGAAAGAGTAAAATTAATGGCTTAGATAAGTAGTCTTAAACAAAATTACATAAATAATACCCATAGTAGGCTTTCCATTTCAATGTTGAAAATGGACATAATAATATAGGTATATTACATTTTATGAAAATAAAATAGACCTATAATAATACTATAAGCTATGCCACATTTATCGTGGTTTTGTGTTTTGTTTTGAAAAAACGCATAACTCATAACCAATTACATTTTTAAGAGAACCTCTTCAACATTTTTATAAAACTTGATAAGTTATGATTACCTTTCATTTTTGCTAGTTTTAATAGTAACTCA